CAGAATGTGGCAGGGTTAAACATGTTAGCGGTATCCCAACCCTCCCCCTAACCTGGGACAGTGGTGTAACAGTACAACATAAGAACGAACTATAAAAATCAGTTGAAAGAGGCTTAACTCATCAGATGGATACAAATAAAAATACTACAAATACAAGTGGATGTGGCCGGGTACTTGTACATCCAAACAACAAAACGGCACTAAGTACAGATCTGAGAGTACTTGCAGTTACTGACAGCTAGTTCAAAGCCACTAACAACTAATAAAAAAAAAAATCATGCATCTAAGACAAAATGAGCATACCTGTAAAAACTCATTCCAGAAACATGTGTTTTGAGAACAAGCATCAGTATTCTGTTTTTATCTCACACTATCCTTCGTTAAAACAAATATGATTCAATCTAACAACAATAGTTCACATAAAAGCCGTTGATCCAGATCAAAAATATTTTTCAAAAGTAGACAGACAACTGAAACTGTGGTTCTGGTTTTGTTTGTTTTGTTAATTTTGTGCAAACTAAGGAAAGAAAATGAGGTAAGTATAAATAAAAACATTTATTAAGAATTCAAATATAAATAACAAAATCCATATCACATTTTTTCTATTTGTATATAAGTAAAAATAGTTGTAAAAAGTCATAGAAGATTAAAGGACGGAATGTAGATCTCTTCGTATACACATTTTTGACATTGTGTAAAAACCCCACTAAATGCTGAAGAATAGATTTTTGCCTTGTGATTGAATGCCATTATTTCTATCTTAGAGCAGATGCATAACTTAGTCACGTTTATAAATCTAAAACTTCATGATCTTGTATAATAACTTTTGGCTTCCACTTTTTATGATCACAGTCTGATTAGAGTTGTTGGTATTGTGCAGCGTCAGGAGAATCGGCTCTCAATAATTTGCCCGGACAATGGACTAAATCTACAACAAAGGTTCTGGGTGGGAACTTTGGTGCTCCAGGCTGAAAGTACAAAAATATGTATCATTAAAAAAGATTGATTGATAAATGGCTGCTCAAAGTCCAGTGACAAATATAATTGGCATATTCAGGATAAGATTATTATCTTAGATATTAAAATATCCTTCTTTGTACTACACAGACACACTGAGTAAGATTTGCAATGTACTAGCTTACAATGTAATAGTCTGTAGAAAGACATATCACCCTACTCAGACACACAGTACTGTCTCAGAGCCGACAAGTCTTTGCTCTTACTTCTAAATGTTGCATGCTTGGTAGAGAAACAGTAAATGCTAATTGTAAAGACATTGGTTTGATCTGGTACCAAACTCACAACTTACCACACATGTGGCGAGCATGCTATCACAAGCCCACTGATTACAGTAATTTTCTACATTGATTTTGGGCAGTTCTAAGAAAAAAATGGCACCCTCTCTTCAGATTTATCTAAACAAGAAACTATAAATTACAACTATAAAAAATCAACTAATACTTCTGAAAGTTCAATGAAATGAAGTCAGATAACATAACAAGCATGAGAGTAATACTATATTTTCTAAGAAACATAGATTGTTGGTCATGGTTGTTTGGATCCTGTGGGTTTTTTTTCATTATTATTGACCCTTGCTGAAAATTCTTCATATTGCCCTTCAAATTATGTGTTTTTTACAGTTTAATGTTTGAAATTAAACTAAATATTTACCCTTTTTTTAAACTAACACAAAATTCCAATTATTTTTTGTTCACTTCATTAATTTATGCTGTGTAAAATAACTGTTTTTTCTTACTACATAATAGACTAATAATTCTACATTGCTCAATGTGTAAAACCACAACTTACAGTGTCATCAGAATCTGGTAACATGACCTCATTCCATGCCAGGTTGTACTCCCCTCGGTTCAATGTACATCCAACTGCTATCCTGTCAGCCAACACCTAAAACAAACAGGTAAAATTTTAACATAATTCTTAAATTAGTGAAAGTATAATATATGAATATCAATATTGTGAAATTGCTCCTAGTCCAGATTTCAATAGGACTTGTCAGCGGTCAATGTAGTTAAAACACTGGCACTATATATCTTTATTAAGATTAGAATGGAAACCTTTTTAAACACGATGTTTATCTAAGTAATTCAACATGACAGAAAAGACAACTCTTATCAAAGAAAATACTTTAAAAAACAACAAGAGTGTACACACTGAAATGTTTCGCCTGCCTTAATGACCATTGATTTAATGTCGAAAGTCTTTTAAAAGATAAAGGTTAAACTACAAGTATCACATAAACTTAACATTTTTGAAGATTCATGACAATGAGGTCAAGGTCAGATAATTCCTGTCAGACAAACATGTATACCTTGCAATTATTCCATACACCAAAAATAGTTGACCTATTGCTTATAGTATTTGAAAAACAGACCAAAACACAAAAACTTAACATTAACCAATGAACCACGAAAATGAGGTCAAGGTCATATGATACCTGCCAGACAGACAGACATGTACACCTTACACACATATATACCTTATAGACATGAACACCTTACAATCATTCCATACACCAAAAATAGTTATCTGTTTATAGTATTTGAAAAAACAGACCAAAACCACAGTGATCGGGAAGGACGTGCGCCTTGCGCCAATTGCGCTTATCGACCAGAAATGGCGCATAGAGTGACAAATGTAAGCGCCCGCGTGGCGCATGATATTTTTCACTTCGTTTTGAAACGTTGAGATATCGTCAAATGGATTTCCGATCGTATTTCGTGCCGCCATGTGTGAGTACACAACTGTGTAGTGTTTACTCCAATGATAGGAGCACCTATATATTTTTTGGACGTCTCGGTTGTTTTCCTATGGTAATATTAGCAACATGCGGTATGACTGATAACCCAAAAAACGTAATTAACCATCATTCATGATATAATTTTTTTATAAACAACTTTAAATTTGTGAAAATTGGCTAGTACCTAATTATAATCTTTTAAGTAAGCTTGCTATTATTTCGATTGAAAAATCCAAAAGCCTTTTTATGAATAGCATAGTATTTGTCTCCATAAAAGGGGCTTAACTGTCCTTGTCAATTTTTTTGGTCTTTGGCTCGTTTTGACATTTTGTAAACATGCCTTCAGCGAATTGTTGTTGTGTCTTATCAATTAACGTTGCTCTCTACTGTTATTCTTGTCATCGTGATGAAGTAATAATAATACAAGTGCAGAGGAAATGTCAGAATCGTCCTCTAATACGGAACGTCTGGAATAAGTATGGTATCGACAAAGACCCAAATTTAATGTAAAAAAAACCATGAACATGAACAAGGGAATAGTACAAGTTTTAACATTGTAAATAAAGGTTATCGTAAATATTGCCCAGTTTGGAAGAAGTTATTGTATATTCATTGAAATTGAAATTACAAAATCACAGGAACAATATCCATGATATTAATTAGAATCATACTTGTAAGTACAGTGAAATATACACTTTTTTTATTTATTTTTTTTATTGTAAACGAATGGCCCACTCATTTGACAACATGGCCCATTAATTCTAAAAATGGCTCATTGAATTTATTTTTGGGGGGCCCTGGGCCCATAGAGAAAAAATCCTTCCAGATCACTGAACCATGAAAATGAGGTAAAGGTCAGATGTTACTAACCAAACAGACATGTACACCTTACAATCATTCCATACACCAAAAATAGTTGACCTTGCTTATTATACTTGAAAAACAGATCAAAATGCAAAAACTTATCATTGACCAACGAACATTGAAAATAAGGTCAAGGTCAGATGAAACTTGCCAGACTGACATGTACCCCTTACAATCATTCTATACATCACATATAGTTGACCTACTTGCTTATAGTATCTGAGAAATGGACCTTATCACATAACTTTAACCTTAATCACTGCAACTTTGGTCGCGCTTGAGACAAAAATTAAGCAGATTCTTATTCACTTTAATATTGACTTTTATATTCTGAACATGCATGGTGTTACTTCTGGTTGAAAAAAAGTTTGTTTTTGCTTTATTTATAAGAGAGATTATCAATTCAATGATAAATTTATTACGACATATATCTATGATTTCATGATTGCAAATTAGCTTTTTTTTTGGCTCCTTTTAGGTGTAACCAGTTCACTCAATTGATACCACTAAATATATGATGAAAATTAATATCAAATTACAACTGCATTATCTACTAATTAGCCGTTTTACCTTGAACAGTAAAGCTCTGTGTATATGTATCCCTGTCTTGATCTTGCCAATAGGTACTACATTAGATTTCATTTCATATCTAATCTGACTGATTGGTAGTTCCCAGCTGAAGTTGGCTAGTTCTCCCTTCTCTATAGGGCCACCCATATGGTCACTTACATATCTGAATATGGAAAATTGGGCTTCATGAACATAGTTTATAGAGCAATTCTTAACTAGATAAGATCAAATGACAATTGTCTCAATTGTAAAGCAAAAATCTTAGAAAATCTTATTGCATCTCATCTTTCTGAAGTAATCAATTTAAATCTCAAATATACCAATATTTTGAGTGAAGATTATCTTCTGTGTAGAAATTTTGACAACCATGATTTGAGCAGCTTAAAGTGAAAAGTAGATCTCAACCTAGTACTTCATCTTATTGTAACAATATTATGGTTGATAATGTATACTGAATAAAACTTGCTTTCAATATTAAGTATCAGGTGCATGACTTTCATCACTCCTGTAAATAATGAATGAAACGTTTTTACTTGAAAGTTATTTACAACAAAGTTATGAGCATCTGGTTCTTTTCTTAAAGTAATTAAGTTATTTCTCTATATTGACACAATTTGCTACAGATACTTACTGGGCTAATGCAACTACTTGTTCTCTGGTTGTCTGTAAAGGTTGAATTTTTTCTGTTATTTCTTCCAGGTATTGACAAAGGTTTGAATCACAAGGCATCTCAAATGGTTTATTGTCTGTGGTAGATTGATTCTCTGCTTCTCTCTGAAGCTGTGCTTGAATCTCTTCCTCTCTCTGCTTTTCTTCTTTTTCTTTCTGTGCTTTGGATTTTCTGTTATGAAATGAAGAGAGAGTAATAGTTATATACTGCAGTTTCATTTCATACGTACTGACTTATAATTTTGACGATTAAAATAAGGATAAATATAAATATGGGATACACATAGTTCTGTTTTCTGATAAAAATATAATATACGATGTAACCTATTTGGATTTTTTTTTACCTTCAAATATTTCAGCTGTTCAATAAATGTTTTTTCACTCATATTAAAATGATCAAACATCTACGTTAAGCATGCATGTATTATTAATGTTGTTTACAAAGAACAATAACTCAACTCTGAAAAAATCGCATTATGACACAACATTTAAAGTTTGAGCAACATCACAAAATGGCTAAAACATAAACTAGCAACAATACAATTAAAAAAGGATATATTCTCACACAACATCTGGAGTTTAAAGTCATTATACATTTTGTATCAGCAGACACTGATTCTAATTTATAAATATTAACACTTATTTTTGTCATTTAGAGATTACTTGGGAGACATCAAATATTCTTTTTTATAAAAATATTCCTAAAAATAGTGCATAGCAGTACAGTGGTGTAAAGCATGAAGTAAAAAATTGCTTCTCATCTGCGATTGTTAATGTCAGTGTTAAAGTGTAATGTTGACTGTAAAATGTAAGTCCATTGATCAGTTAAAAAAAAAAGAATTTATATAAAAAAAATCAATATTTTTTCTTCAGATGCTTTTTTCTTTGTCTTGAAGATCATCTTCTGCCCAAGTTTCATAATAATCCACGAAGATTTACAAATGTGTAGTGTCATAAAACTTTAATCACAGACGGACTGTCTGTAAATGATCTGCAAAAAACTAAGTTGTATCAGCAAAATACTGAAAATGAGATAAAAAAGTTTTTTTGAAAATTTTGCTTTAGACATTATTTCTTAATATTAAAAAGCTTATGCCAAAGTTTAATAAAATTCCATGAAGGTTTGACAAAGTTATTGATGTCTAAAAAACTTAAAACACAGACTGAACCTAAATGAAGATGCCACCTACAACAGAATATCGGATCTCTATGACTCGTTTCCGCGACATAAAGTTGCAGACATGACAAAAATGACATTACACAACTTTTTGTTTTCTATACATTTGGTCTTTATTTTACAAATTTTGATAGGTCTCAAATGAAAAATTCTTCTTTTACATCAGGGTTACTTTGCAGTTCTCTACTCCACCAGCACAAAGATATTACAACATCCAATCAGCGTCCCTTTTTAAGTGATCCCAGGTCATAAACTTTTCTGGCAAATCATATTCCCTTTTCTAACTTGTTTGGCAATACTTGCTATGAGTTTTGCTCATTGGTGAAGGCCGTACGGTGACCTATAGTTGTTAATTTCTGTGTCATTTGGTCTCTTGTGGAGAGTTGTCCCATTGGCAATCATACCACATCTTCTTTTTTATAGATGGAATGCTGTAAAGTCTTTGTGCTAGTAACCTGATAAATGGAAAACTAAGATGATATCTTAACAGTGTTGACAAGGTTGCTTTAATATGTACAAATATTTTTGAATACTCAGTTTAAGTTTTCAATCTTTCAACTATATGCAAATCTTGCAAAAATTGTAAAATAACTTGGATGGGGACAAGCTGAGACAGAAAAAGTTTGGTTAAACACCATAGTTGGACAATAGACTTTCTTACAAATCTGCTATTATTTCTTTACGTTGATAATATCTCAAACATTCTAATAATTAAACAATGCAAAGACAATACAAACATACTAAGTACACATCAACACAATTCACTGTAAAATACCGGAAATTAATTTTCAAACAATAATTTCAGTTGAATAACAGAAAGAGCAACAATTCAGATAATGCGACATCTTATCAACATGTAAACAGCTTTGAAAAGGGACTGAACCCTTATTTGTGCTATTTACAATGTAAATTCAATGAAGAACTATTAATTTGTGCCAGTTCTTCAACTGCCTTGTTTATGAAAATAAAACTGACATTTTACAAGTGTTTTCATTTAAAGGGCAGAAAAGATATAAAAGCCTGATTCATTTAAATCATGTTAGGATTGAGTTTAATAGCAATTAAATTGAACATACATGTAAGTTTTAGCATGTGAATATCAAACAAAAAGCCAGATTATAAATCTTTTGTTATAAGGATTGATTGTCATGTGCTTAATGTTCATTGGCAAACACTTCAAGAACATTATAAACAACTACCAAATATAAAACAGATCAATAAGTTAGGGTAGACTAAGAGGGTAGTCAGAATTTTGACTGCCACTGAAAAATAATGGTATATTGAATAGGATTACAATTTTCTTCTCAAAAAACAAAACTAGAGATTTCTCCAGAGTTGTTGAAACCAATTTTAAACCTGCTGAGTGTATGGCCCTCTCTAAATTTAATAATTACAAAAAGTAACACATAATTTTTCTATTGTGTTGATAGAGATATGTAAAGCAGAATTCAAAACAGTTTATAAACTGACCAGTAATATACATATAAAGGTTACATGGGATTGTGCTTTTTTTCATTGTGTGTATAGAGATAGGTAATGCTATAATTCAAATGTTTATAAACTGGCCAGTAATATGCATATATAGGTTACATGGGATTTTGTTTTTTTTTAATATTACTTTTGATAACAGGTATTTATGTATTAACACAGAAAGCAGATTACAAAAGTTGTTTATAAATATGATGGGATAAATATATGGACTTTAGTTAGGAATTCTTTATACATTTAGCAGTATATAATATAATTCCAATATAAGAGTCTTCTATTTTTGGAGTTGATGCAACAAAATAACTCCTGAGCATACATTTTTACAATAATGAAGTATGGAAGTTTTTTAAAAGAAAACAAAATCAGAAATTCAGGGCTCATGGTCATAAATCTTTACTCAGTATTCAAGAGTACAAAATTTGTGCTCAAAATACTAAATCCATTATTTTGATTGGATGAATTATGAGCCCAAGTACGATAATCATACACAAAATTTTTATGACTGGATGGCCAGATGTTTCTAGAACACATCTTTTTTTTTAAAGAAATAATTTGTTTTCATGAAATGTTAATATGCCAAGCCGACAATTTTATTATTTTATAATATGACCACTTTTTTTTTTTACAAAAGTACAACACTATACACCATTAAACCATGCATACATCTTCCTTTAGGCTGTGTGAGAATACAATAAATCAGCAAATACTTACGGTGGCGAAGGACTGCAAAAGGGAAACAACTCTACAGTTAATAAAGACAGACAGTTCTACTAGGTATATTAATAGCTATAGGTTTAACAGGTTAAAATTAAAAGTTAAAAGTAGAAGAGGTTAGTTAGTCTGAAATAAAAACAGGGTAAACACAAGGTTTGGAGATCAGTTCTTAAAATAAGAGAAAATATAAAACAGAAAAGCATTGGCTAATCTAATATAAAAAATATTGTAGAAATTCTCCTTTTTCTTTAATATAAAATTAAAATAACTCTTTTAAAACCTTAATTCCTAAATGAATTTTCCTTCCTGAAATTTTTTGGTGAATGAAAAATTTAAAAACTCTACTACAAGACATAATGGAAATACTAGAACTTATGCATTTTTTTACAATCTACAGAAATGTTTAAACAGTTCAGGATGGATTAAAAGTATATTCTAAATTTACTATACATTATAAAAATTAAAACTTTGCCTGTAGTATTAGTTTGAGAAATGATGTTATTTGTTCTGACTTGTTAAGTTATTACATCTATAGGGTTACACTTTACTGATTGTACCTTTCACCTGATCCTTTACGGCTAAATTAAAAAACATCCAATTAATGAATATCCACGGAAAACTTATAGGACCTTAAAAAATTGTCTATAATAATGCAGATTAGTTCAAAATAAATTAAAACCCTAGAGTTTAGAACAATCACCATTTCAGAATCTAAATCACTATTGGTGACTTGAATGCTTGTACATCAAATTAAAAATATCATTAAACCATTGTTAGGACGTTGTACACAAATCATGCTTTAGTGTGTGATTTTACCAAACATGCCTTCGATTGTTAAAAAGTAAAATGTTTATTGCCTATATCACTTCCAAACCTTGGCTAATATAAGTCTTTGGACTGACATGGTTCAGTTTTCAAGGCTTATGATCCAGGGATAGAAAAAGACTAATAAGAAATGACTAGTCAAGCCATGAGAATGGGGTAACTATTACGGTAACAAAATTCAGAGTAAGGTCCCCTTTTAAAAAAATTCACTGAATCAGTTTTCATCATATGACACCTATTTTAGGACCGATTCAATCATAGTGATGTCCCCTTCAATAGTGATAAAACCTACTGCTCTTTACTGCAGCTACTCATCATCATTAATTGATATATAACAGGGATTTGGTATGGTTACATAAGAATAATGATGGGGATGGGGTCTGACATTGATAAATGGGAAAGCTTTCAAGGTAATATAAGTAGGAGATTTTGACCACTAGCCATTGATATACATAGGGTATATAATAATCCTAGATTTCACTTTAAACATTATCCAAAAATGGTATGGTAGAATATATATTTCATGCTTCATGCAAAAATTAAATGAATGAAAAGCTATAACAAACATTAAGTAAATTTCATTTACATAATCATCATTACAAATTCTAGATAAACTGTTTAAACAAGATAGCAGTGACCAATCTATTAAATTGTATGTGAATGTACTGTGCACTCTTTACAGAAGTTTTTTACTTTCTATTTAATACATTTGCTTTAGTTGTGAAAGCACTAGTTCCTATAATCAGATGACTACTTCCTGTGACATGTGCATTATGTGTATATAAAGTGAGATAATACATACGCCTTAGTTTCCCGTCCAGTACGGGAGGATTTCCCAGATACACTAGTCTTTGAACTGTCTTTTGCCATTTCAGCATCTGCATTTGACTGAGATTCCTTGGGTGCTGACCTAAACAATATAAATATATGTTAACATAAAAATAGGTATACAAGTCAGTAGCCTGTAATTCAGTGGTTGTCATTTGTTGCTATTTATCATTTATTAATTTGTTAATTTGTACATAAATCAGGCAGTTTTTTTCTCTCTTCTGAATTATATTACATTTGTCATTTAGGGCCATTTTATAGCTTGCTATGCGGTATGGGTGTTGCTCATTGTTGAAGGCCATATGGTGACCTATAGTTGCTAACTTTTACGTCATTTGGTCTCTGGTCGAGAGTTGTCTCATTGACAACCATACAACATCTTCTTATTTTCATAATGAAAAAATAGGTTTTGTTTTCATAATCCAACTATATGAACATTATTTTAGACTTTCACACATATTCCCAATGAAAATGAAAACTACTGATAATACAGCAGTATAGGTACACAAACGGGTGATCATGATTTGGGTTAACTAATATGGGAGCAATCAAATCAGTGATTGGTGCTTGAAATTCAGAAACCTCTTAAGTAAAATCTATCTTGTTAGGTGAACTGATTGTTTTTCATGTGCATGAAAACTACGTAATATTTACTCTGGTTTAGCATTAACTAGAAGTACAGGTCGTTTGTCATGTAGTTCCTGTTTACAGTAGTCCTCCAGCGACAAGAACTGACTTCCAGGTCTCAACTGTCCAGCATCATAGAATCCATCTAGTATTATGTTTGTTGAACCTGTAAATAATTTTTCATAAATAAGAAATCACACCAATGAAAGTAAATGTGAAAGCATTTTATTATTCATGTTCTGTTGACACTTATAAAATTTTGCATTTATGGTTTAGTTAGTAAATTATGCAGTTTTAGTTTAAAAGGATTGAAAAATATCTTATCAATATAAAATAAAATTGTAGATTTCTTTTCATCTATCTGCATCATGTTTAAAAAAACCTTCAAATATTTTGAAGGTGTTTGATTTACAATGGTTCCAACATGTTGAACTCTGACCTACTGCTCACTAATTATACCCCTGTTAAAGGTATTCTGTAAACAGGAAGTTGTAAATCGATGGAAGTGAAAAATCATCACATGGAAAAGCATACTCACAAAAGTTCATGAGAAAAATTCCGTTCATGGCCTTTATATGAAAGAATATATAAATATCTGGTAAACATGAAGTTGATTGATGAGTGAAGAATGTGAAAGTGCTTCAAACAATATACCATTCATACATGAAGCCTGATACACAATTTCTGGAGGGTCTGATTTGTAGGTTCTGAGAAATATGCGATGAAAATTACATACATGGGATGGACGGAAGCAATGACGCGAGGATAGAGGTAAACCAGTATACAACCCTCATTTTGAATGGGGTATAAAATGAACACAACATCTTGCTATTTGTAATTTTCCTAGATCTTGAGAAGGTATCATAGTTTTATTTATCAATATCCTGTGTGTGGATAAGCAGCATGATCTCCACTTACTAAGGGCTCCAGTCAGTGAATATTTAGCTGATAGGTTACTGTTGAGTAAGTTTTGCAGTGCCACATCAGCAAAAGGATTTCTCCTGGTTCCTGACACCTGTATCTCTTGTAATACTGACATTCCACTGAAAATATAACATTTGTTGACTTTATTCTTTTTTCATTTCAATTACAAATTGACAGGATACTTTTTTTTTTACTCTCACCACACAGAACAACAAAACATAACAAAAAATTAATTCACAGCATATTAAATATGTAGAGATTGCAATATTCACCTTATGTCTATAATGGTAAGTCATTGAAGAAAATATGAAATTCAACTACCATGGATAGGAGTGCTAAATTTGCTTACAAATTGAAGCAAGTTATCTTATCAATCTGAACTTCAGTAGTTGTAAACTTCTGACAAAAGTATAATCTTGTTAACCTTTTTCAACCTAACTTACCCTAACTTGCAAACTTCTGAAGCAGTCTGTTCATCTACAGCACAAACAGCTATGGCCCAAGAGGAATTTCTCCTAACTTCATCATTTCCAGAATGTAACAATGTTATTAAATACTCAATACCTCCATTATTTCTGAACTGAAAAAAAAGGCATAATGATTCAAAAATATTCCATCAAAATCAAAGTTATCTCTCTTGAGCCTATACCCATAATGTATAGTAATACATGCAGCCTTTGAAAAAAGTAAAGAAGTCATGCGTCAATAAATCTTGTTTCAAAAAACAATTTTACTGGAATTGTATTTGAGAGTATATTTCCATTAAAATATGTGCACTAGGGTTTGACCACAATGTTAATAGTCCTGTTTGTCATGATGTTTTATATAATATGTTTTCATACCAATTCCTGTAAAATGTTTTTTTTTTGGTCCAAATTGCCTTCATACTCCGTCAGATAAACTCACATGAATTGACAGTGAATATTAAAAAAAACCTAACCCAACTAAAAACTAAAAATATCAGAACTTTGCTCTTTTCAGAGGTGTTTACACCTATTTCAGTCTATCAGTAGTATCAATCACTTTCTCAGTATTTTTCAGTAGTATCACTGGTTAGCGCCACAATGCAAGTCCTGATGAGCAGGAGCCACCCACTTCATAGCTGACATCTTTTCATAATTTTAAACTACCTTTTGTTACATACTTTGAAACACAAAGCACCAAATCCAGTATTTTGCTTGGTTGATTTCTGAGTCTGAGTACAATAATAATTATACTTAAATTGTTTATGACTGTAAGACTAGAAGCCACAAACCAATTAACACATATACTCTGATGATACTTACATCAGCTCTGGAGTCAGCATCACATACATAAGCTGCCACTGCTAACGAACATTTCGACTGTACATTTGTATTCCTAAAATTTGAAAATATAGATATCATAAATAACATGTGCCAACCAATGATAACATTTTAAAAGTAGATCCCATGTTGATATAAAAATGAATATTTGACTGTGATTTTCAACAGTGAAACACTGTCATATGATAATTTTTATTTTTTTTGGGGTATTCTTTGAAGTTTTATGCTGATACCATATTTACCTAGCATCATTCTACCGTATATCTAAAGCTTAATATGTATGCATGACAAAATTTTTTTAATAATTTTTAACTCAGGCCATAGAATTAATCTTTAGATTCTCATGTTCGATTTAAGAAAAAAAAAAGTAGAGTCAGTAGGCTCCATTTCATTTTTACTTTACTTTTGTTTTTGATTTTTTACTAAATGTGAAAAGAAGTAAAGTAATAGTTAACAAGAATGTGTCCATAGTACATGGATGCCCCACACAACTATCATTTTCTACGTTCAGTGGACCATGAAATTGGGGTCAAAACTCTAATTTGGCATTAAAATTAGAAAGATCATATCATAGAGAACATGTGTACTAAGTTTCAAGTTGATTGGACTTCAACTTCATCAAAAACTACCTTGACCAAAAACTTTAACCTGAAGGGGGACAGACGGACAAACAGACGGAAGAACAGACACACAGACTGAAAAACATAATGCCCCTAGGTGGGGCATAAAAACATGAAATTGAAGAAACATCTTTGAAATAAGGATCAGTGGTAAACTTTCTATCTGCTGGTGGTGTTTATAAACCATATAACAGCTAACATAGAGCTTTCAAACGAGGAAGGCCTGTTCCAAACCCTAGTCTTCTATGCTTTTCACACTTTGATTTAAAGAATCTACCAGCTTTACAACATTTTTTGATGTTCTGATTGATAATAACTTTGATTTTTGATGCTCAATAAGTTTGTCTACAATATATATGTTCTGAGAATATTTACTGAAACTAACTTTGATTTTAAAGGCTCTATAAGTTTGACTATAATATTTCTGTTCTGAGCCTAGAGAATGATACTTACTTTGATTTTTGAGGCTCTATAAGTTTGACTATAATATTTCTCTTCTGAGCCTAGAGAATGATACTTACTTTGATTTTTGAGGCTCTATAAGTTTGACTTTAATATTCCTGTTATGAGCCTAATGAATGATACTTACTTTGATTTTTGAGGCTCTATAAGTTTGACTTTAATATTCCTGTTATGAGCCTAATGAATGATACTTGCTTTGATTTTTGAGGCTCTATAAGTTTGACTTTAATATTTCTGTTCTGAGCCTAATGAATGATACTTACTTTGATTTTTGAGGCTCTATAAGGTTGAGTTGATATTTCTGTTCTGAGCCTAATGAATGATACTCACTTTGATTTTTGAGGCTCTATAAGCTTGACTTTAATATTCCTGTTATGAGCCTAAAGAATGATACTTACTTTGATTTTTGAGGCTCTATAAACTTGATTTAATATTTCTGTTCTGAGCCTATTGACTGATACTCACTTTGATTTTAAAGGCTCTATAAGTTTGACTACAATATGTTTGTTCTGAGCATCACTTCTCAATGCTTCCTCAGTGGCCATGTTTGTCAGACAACAGGCAGCATTAGCTACAGCCTCCTCTCTAGCATCAGCTAATGTATGGATTAAGGCATCAATTCCATTAAAGTTACTGATATCACTGCAACAAAAAAAGTTAAGTACTGAATATCTAAAAACTTATCATTTCAATAGCAGGAAGTTGTTAACGATATCACACAAATTTAGCCTCCACTCTTCATTAAAAATTGACAAAAGTGTTGAGCTCAGTGGGTATAATAAAAATTCAATGTATTGTCAAACAGGAAGTGACTGTATGACAGATCTAACAAGAGTGCACACCCTGAAATGTCTCGCCTTCTTTACTAATCATTGATATTATGTTGATAGTCCTAAATATAAAGCTTTATTACAACTGTCACATAAACTTCACATTAACCAAGTAAACTAAACATTGACCAATGAACCATGAAAATGAGGTCAAGGTCAGATGAACCATGCTAGGCAGGCATGTACAGCTAACAATTCTTCCTTACAACAAATATAGTTGACCTATTGCTTATAGTTTAAGAAAAACAGACGAAAACACAAAAAGTTAACACTGAGCAATGAACCTTGAAAATGAGGTCAAGGTCAAATAAAACCTGCGTGACTGACATATAGATCATAAAATATTTCCATACACCAAATATAGTTGAACTATTGCATATAGTATTAGAAAAAAAGACCAAAACTCAAAAACTTAACTTTGACCACTGAACCATGAAAATGAGGTCAAGGTAAGATGACACCTGCCAGCTAGACATGTACACCTTACAATCATTCCATACACCAAATATAGCTGACCTATTGCATGCAGTATTAGAAAAAAAGACCAAAACTCAAAAACTTAACTTTGACCACTGAACCATGAAAATGAGGTCAAGGTCAGATGACACCTGCCAGCTAGACATGTACACCTTACAATCATTCCATACACCTAATATAGTAGACCTATTGCATACAGTATAAGAAAAACAGACCAAAACACAAAAACTTAACTATAACCACTGAACCATGAAAATGAGGTCAAGGTCAGATGACACCTGCCAGTTGGACATGTACACCTTACAGTCCTTCCATACACCGAATATACTAGACCTATTGCTTATAGTATCTGAGATATGGACTTGACCACGAAAACTTAACCTTGTTCACTGATCCATGAAATGAGGTCGAGGTCAAGTGAAAACTGTCTGACGGGCATGAGGACCTTGCAAGGTACGCACATACCAAATATAGTTATCCTATTACTTATAATAAGAGAGAATTTAACATTACAAAAAATCTGAACTTTTTTTTCAAGTAGTCACTGAACCATGAAAATGAGGTCAAGGACATTGGACATGTGACTGACGGAAACTTCGTAACATGAGGCATCCATATACAAAGTATGAAGCATCCAGGTCTTCCATCTTCTAAAATATAAAGCTTTTAAGAAGTTAGCTAACGCCGCCGCCGCCGCCGCCGCCGGATCGCTATCCCTATGTCGAGCTTTCTGCGACAAAAGTCGCAGGCTCGACAAAAATCCCTTGTACAGTACAACTCAACATAGTAGAAAATTTCAATCATTCCTTTTCACATGTTACCAAAAAAAAAAAAACACAGATGCTCAGCAGGAATAAAAAAAAAACAAAGTATCATCATAAAGAAAGTGGAAGATCTGAAAATAACCAACATGTTACTTTTAAACACAAACAAGGTCCAGATGATGTATACAGGTATTCCTTTGTATACAGGTGCAGATGATGTATACAGGTATTCCTTTGTATACAGGTCCAGATGATGTATACAGGTATTCCTTTGTATACAGGTCCAGATGATGTATACAGGTATTCCTTTGTATACAATCACAGAAAAGAATGATGTAGAATTCCATGGTGGGAACAATATATCATAATAATTTATAATTTGTAGATCTTTATTTGTAGTTGATTGGAGTTTATAATTTGTCACATGCTGACTTATTTTATGACTGCTGATGTACGCTCCAGGATATATTAACATAACATGCATCCACTACTTACTGACAATTAGTACTGTTATTGGCAGTCAGATTAGCTAGTGCCAATGAAGCTGCTTCTTTAACATCACCATTGTCTGAATTCAGTAACTTCACCAATGGCTGAACACCCTCTGAAAAATCAAACATTGTCATTTTTGGTTAATTATTAATGCACATACATAAATAAAGATAATATGAAATATATGTTCTCAGTGGATTTTTGTTTTCATTCATTCCATATAGCTAATTTAACTATCCATTTTAAACACACTTAATGGAATGCAAATCAAGCCTTTAACTGGTTCTAATCCTAATGCCACTTCTTTTTAAGGACCAGCTCTTGAAGGAAAAATACATGTGATTCACAGATGAAAGGCTTAGAATTTTTACTTTTGATATTTAACTAAGAGTGTGAAAGTAAACAAAACAAATAATAAGCTATTTCTGACTATGACATAATTCATTCAATGGAGATAAAAATTCTATGATATTAACTGTAAACATGAAATGGACAATAAGTAATGAGGCTATTTTTCAGGATGCATAGTTAATATTATTGCCAATACAATCTTACTCACCCCACTCTCGTATTGAGTCTTTAGTGAGCAGATTTTCTGACATAATACCAAGAGCCTGAGCTGCAGCTGTTTGAACTTCGGTAGACTCATGAGCCAATAAGTGGATCAACATTTTCTCTGCTTCTTGTTCATGTAGAATCTTTCTGTTTTCAGCTTAAAATTAAAAGAGCTAAAATAAGGATTTGTGATGGAAGAGTTAGATAAATGAAGAGAGTTTTCTGTTTTTGCTATAGTGTGGCCATCCATTTTATTTCTAGTGGTTTTTACTGTTTGCCTGTTTTGTTTCACATCAACTGGTTTCCATTTGACTATTTTAAATCTTGTAGAATTTCTTGTTGCATAGTAAATTTAAGTGTAAGAAAACTTACCACTCCTGGCTGATCTAGCTATAGCTTTAGCTGCACACATTTTAACATCAGGTAGGGTAGGTATGATGGCCTCTCCTGGTATTGACTCCTCTTTTTCTTCTGAGGACTTTTTGCCTGAAAAAATTGCATTCAGAATTAGGGTTTGCATTTTCTAAAATCTTCAAATAGTCAATGCCAACAGGATACCTTAAATTACCTATCACTATGGAAATATGATATTGTTATCAAAAATTTTAAATTAAAGTGACTATAACAATTTCAGATGAGACTACTGAAGTGTTTATTTTAACAAAGGGATTTATTTTATTCTAAATCTTTTAGTTGCAGCAATGAGATGAATTTTTCCTAATTAATTTACAAAGTAAATATGACTTATTACAAGAAAAAAGACCTGAACAGTTTGTTGTATGTTCTTCACTCAAAATTAAAGCAATATACATTATTAGCAACTGCATCCTTGCGATCAAAATTGTGCAACTATAAAATTCCAGCAAAATAAAGTGTGGTTGCAACAAAACAAACGCTTGCCAAGAGCCACTATGCAATTTAGCCACCAAACATAATTTATCATTTATACAAAAAGTGTGAAAATATCACAGCACAGACCAAAAGTGCAAAATCATATAAATCAAAATATCCCAGCTTAGCTGGTATTTCTAATTTTGTTGATTGATACAGTCATTGTATCATCTATAAACTAAATATGCAAATTTGTTAAATGCTGTTATTTGGTCCTATCTAGAAGCAAGATTTAAATATTTTCACAAGCAATATTTTATAATCCCAGTATACACAAAAAGAAAATGTTCTTCAAAGTTCTAACCCTCAATGGCATAGCTTGATAACAATATTTTAATAAACTCTTTTTGCTGAAAAAAGATCAAAGTTGAAATATTCATTTAAAGAATTAAAGATGCCAATTAAATCAAATCAGATACAGACTGAGAGTATATAAATAAAGAAAAGTGGTGCATAAAAATTCAACAAAACTGTAGTGCAATAATTCAAAGAAAAATGAAAAATAACATTAGGTGAAAAAGTCAGAGAGAAAATAAAATAAAGATAAAAAAGATTTTTTGTTTATTAAAAAAGTTATAAAAAATGTGAGTAAAAGTTCATGCAAAAGTTTATAGATAACTGATATATTTAGCTTTATTAAAACAATGCTTACACTTTATTTGTTTAAGAATTTATGCTTAGTTCATTTAAGAAAATATAAATAGGATCAGATACCAAACCAATGTATATACTCTCCATACACAATGTAACAGCAAAACAAAATTTTTAAAGTTCAAGGGAAAGAACTCAAATATTATATTTTGTTTTGTAAAATTGGATTTGTTGTTTTCATTTTTGAATTTCTTTTTTCAAGCATACATAATCTTGTGAAAGATGTCATATCACTATCAGCCTCACACTAACAACAATAAAACTAAGCAACTATTGTAAAACACAATTAAATTTTCAATAAAAATTAATCTATTTCTGCAACTGTTCTATGTCACAAATATAACAACAACATATAATCTCAGGAGTTTTTATGTTAAAAGATACCCTATTTTTCTAGTTAAGATGAATGAAAGTAAAGACTGTTTTTCTACTGGTGTTGAAGGCATATTGATATATATATATATAGTATACAAGCATGGTGCTGTTTCCTGCATATAAAAAACTAGGGTACTTTGTTTACCTCTGCTAGATTTACCCCCTAAAGTCAAATATAAATCAAATCTTTGTTAAAATATTGCCAATGATAACTGGCATGCACACATTCAAATTAACACCTACTTTCTTTCCTTATATACTGTGAATTCATTTATTTTCATGGGTATTAATTTTCTTTGAACACTTGAATTACCCACGCAAAACAATAATCCACAGTAATAAAGTTTGTAAACCAAGTTCATATATCACTGAGACTGCCATATCACTATATCATTCCAGATATGCTTCTTAATTCCATCATGCATCAATTTCTGTGTGTGCAGTTAATCCAATGGAATGATAAAATTTAGGCTTGAAAATATTGTATTAGAAATTAAAATGAAGGTGAAATGATGGCCACCAGCTACACACTTTGAATGTTAGCAGGAACATGAAAAACAAGCAAATACATTTTCAAATCAACGGTTTCATTCAGCATATCAAAATCTCATACATGCATAGCAGCTTGTAGTAATAAGACAATCTATATATAAGTATGAAGTTTACACTGATATGGTGTTAATAAAAATCATGCATACTCATACAATTACAACAAAATGGACATACAATGGTGACTGACATGCCTTATTAATATTATATGTAAAAGCTTTTAACAATACAATATTGAATTTTCATGTTAATTTTAGGCAAATCTCTTGGATATTTACTCATGGTGAAGCCTACCATCTTTAGCACTCTTTTTAGCTGCCCTTGACCCTCCTTTTTCTGCCTTTCCTCCCTTTCCACCTCCACCTTTTGCCTCTTCCTCTGGTGGAGGCTGATCTGTTATCAGAGCAACAAGTCTCTTCAGTGTGCCTGTCTCTTTTACTAACTGTAAAAATAAACATTTTTTTTTTTAATTTCTAGGATCATTTTCACCTAATAGTTAGTAGTTAGTCTGTGATACATCCAAATTATGATGTTTCATGCAAATAATTGGATGTTTAATTTGTCAGATATATTAAAACTGAGAGATAAAAAACCTATTCAAAATTGTAAATGTACATACTCTGAAAACTTTCTGACTAGAAACGTTTGGTGACTAGACATAAAAAGCAATAAAACTGAATGAAGGACCTGCCATAACACACACAGACTCTTCCACTATGTGTATTTGATCCCTTTAATCTCTGGTCAGACCATAAAACAAACAGGGGAGATACCCGGGACAAATTTAAACAGTTTGTTTGATGAGCTGTTCACAATAAAACAATATCTGATAGTGAAGACTCCACGGTATCTTACATGTAAGAATTAACGTATTGTAAACACTAGGACTATCTCAATCCTCAAGTGTCATAAATTCTATTTAAGATATTTTTCAGTCAAAATATGGTTAATAAAGTACAAAAATATAACCTTATCTGGACCTATATTGTGACCTGTGACCTCAATTTACAACTGTGTTGGTATCAAAATCTGAAGGTTTTATTTTTTAGTTTTTTAAATACAACTTAATGTAAATTAGATAAAGCATGATGGGAAATATACATATCTAGATGATATAAAGTTATGACAGCATTTCAGACTATTGGTGTAAACATAGTATATTGGTACATTTTAATAGTTCTAACCTAATTAAATTAGTTTATACAGTTCATTTTTTCAAATCCAGTCTTCAGTATTTAATCATATATTGTTTCTTGACAGCAAAGCAGATAATGCCAATCATTTATCATAATTTTCACAGATAAAAAAAAAAAAATGAGGAGGATGGATGTGTTTCCGGTATCTTCCTCTACTATAATATTTCAGTTTAAAAAAAAGAAATTTACATCTTGTTGCCCTTGTAGCAATCTTAAACTTGAGAGTTTACAACATGTTAATTTTTTGTTTTTATGAAAGTGAAATTTTAGAGTGCAAAGAAATTATAAACTTTTTTTGTTTTTATGAAAAGGAAATTTATAAGTGCAAAGAAATAATCTAATCATCAATCTTCTTTACACTAAAGTTTTGAACTACAAGAATTTATTGTTTATTTATTTAAAGGTCGTAGATCAAACAATTTCTATTAACTTGATATTTACAACATTTAGAACAGGCTATTATCTAATCATTTCTGCATTTGAAACAAGACTAAGTTTCTAACACATGTACTTTAGCATTTGTATACCAGTATATATCAATTTTGGTTTCAACATATTTAATTGAACTATTTGATCTAAGGGCTGTTGTTCTATCAAAACATATAACCCAGTGAAGGCACTTTGAAAATGAGCCATCTTAGGCAATTTAACAAATTTCTCTTTTATTTTGACTGTACAAGTCTTGAACACCCACCTTTAGTTGAGATTCTGAAGTGGGTCCTATATAGATTTTTATTAAAAAAAAGTCCAAAAGAAATCTCCTTTGATTTTTACCAAATTATATTCATTTTTCATTATCAAGACAAGTATATAGACATAAACAGGGCACCAGTCAGCTGTTAAATTATATTCTGGTATAACAAATTTCTAATTACAAAATCCCACCTCTAAACTTTCATGGTCTTCTAACAGGTTGGCTAGAACCATTACAGCCATAACATGTAAATCATTCCATTCAGGATGGGCTACAAAATCTACCAGTTTAGACATAGCCTCTAATTCTCTCAAAGCACCTCTGTTGTCAGCTGCCAAAAGAAATAACAATTTTCATCAAATACATATCAAATAAATCAGTTATTGATTGAAATCAGGTCTTTTCCATTTCAATATTTTCTAAATGGATATTGAGTTTAAACGATTTTATCATATACTTAAATTAGAGGATGATCAACTTAAGTTTATTTACTCCTTTAGATGTGAGTTGAAGAAGTTGAATTAAAACAAAACTGTGCTTTGGTCAACTCATGTATCTTGACTCCACAAAAGTTTAAATTGTACCTTGTTCCCTATTCCCTACATAAGTTTCATCAGTAGTATTATTTAAAATGAGAGATTACATTTTTATTATTACTTATCATGCTTAATTTGTTATACTATTTATGATATATATATATATATATATATATATGTTACAGTACAAATTGGAATTCAGTAGGATCCAGAATCCTAGTACAAATCAGAATTCTAGTAGATATTGGAATTCCGATTTGTACTGCAACATATATATGTATATTGATTTTATTTCATAACTTAACAGCTGAAAATGACATCATAGTAAATAATATAAATATACATAAGTGACAAAAACTCTGAAGAAATGTTGCATAACATCACAATTAAAATGCCACACCAGTTACATAAATGTAAATAATGCAAACAGAACTGCTTAAGTAATTGAATCAGACATTTACACTGTTTTCACATTCTGCAATTTATATTAGAATTTCAGGAAATGTAAGTTTTCGTGTTATCTTTGATTACAATATATCATATTATTCTTGTGACTAAACAAGACTGATAACTTGTTTACCCATGCAGTCAGAGATTTAGTTTTGCTGAAAATTGTAGTCATTTGCCAGTATAAAAACCTATGGTGACCTATAGTTGTTTATTTCTGTGTCATTTGGTCTCTTGTGGAGAGTTGTCTCATTGGCAATCATATCACATCTTATTTTTATATATAAAAATCCAATAATTTGAGGAACATGCCAATTTTCTAATGTTTTACAAAAATCAAAGAAACATGCCAATTTTCTTAAGTTTTACAAAAATCTAAGTAACATGCCAATTTCCCAAAGTTTTACAAAGTTCTAAGAAACATGCCAATTTCCCAAAGTTTTCTAAGAAACGTGCCAATTTCCAAAAGTTTTCTGAGGAACATGCCAATTTCCCAAAGTTTTCAGAGGAATATGCCAATTTCCCAAAGTTTTCTAAGAAACATGCCAATTTCCCAAAGTTTTCTAAGAAACATGCCAATTTCCAAAAGTTTTCAAAGAAACATGCCAATTTCCAAAAGTTTTCTGAGGAACATGCCAATTTCCCAAAGTTTTCTGAGGAACATGCCAATTTCCCAAAGTTTTCAGAGGAACATGCCAATTTCCCAAAGTTTTCTAAGGAACATGCCAATTTCCAAAAGTTTTCAAAGAAACATGCCAATTTCCAAAAGTTTTCTAAGGAACATGCCAATTTCCTAAAGTTTTCTAAGGAACATGCCAATTTCCCAAAGTTTTCTAAGGAACATGCCAATTTCCTAAAGTTTTACAAAAATCTAAGAAACATGCCAATTTCCCAAAGTTTTCAAAGAAACATGCCAATTTCCCAAAGTTTTTTAAGGAACATGCCAATTTCCCAAAGTTTTCTAAGAAACATGCCAATTTCCCAAAGTTTTCTAAGGAACATGCCAATTTCCAAAAGTTTTCAAAGAAACATGCCAATTTCCAAAAGTTTTCTGAGGAACATGCCAATTTCCAAAAGTTTTACAAAATTCCAAGGAACATGCCAATTTCCCAAAGTTTATGGTTTGATTTGTTCATATTGCTCAGTATATTTTAGTTGTCTGGGTAGTGTTCTGTTGACTTTTGTTGTCTTTTAGTCAAGTTTCTTTTAGGCCATGTATTGTCTTTTTTTTCAACTAGATCATTTATTGTCCCTTAGACATCTTATACACTCTTTTGTGTTAAGCAATCACTTCCAAAAACGTTAAAAAAAAATAATATAAAAATAACAAAATTATTTTGTTAACGATTAACCTGATTTTTAATTCGACAAAACTATTCCCTTTGCAGGATTACCTATAAAAATAGTTGTGAATTGTATCTTTTTGATGAATGTCTAGCTTACTTTATAATGTTTCTAAATTACAATATTTTAAGTCCTAAAAATATTATAAGTATGAATTAAGTTTGATATATTGCAACATATATCCTCATCTTTATCTTAATGGACCTTTATACAGCATGGAGGGTTGTAAATAACAAATTAGCATCTCTACACAGATAAAAGACGGATCTCTATAATAGCCAGTTAAAATATTTATGAGATTTCTCACATTAGCATTTTTCAAATAAAATTTCATAACACATCTCATAATGATTGCATGGCTTCAATATAGGCCATCATTGTTGAACAAATTGGGCACCTTTAAACAATCATAATCTTTATGAATTTCAGAATTCAGGTTTTAATGACATTGGTCAATTAGAAGGTATGAACATAGGTTACATTATGATTCAGTTTAATCTATGCTATATCATTTGATTTATTATATCTACATAACAGGTGTCCCCAACAACTCTGATGGTTTGTATTTTCACTCCATGTATGACTATGAGTCTCTTCGTTCTTGAAATGTAATAACTTAATTGCTTCGTTCTTGAAATGTAATAACTTAGTCATTTATTAGATATAATGATCTGCTCTCTAGATTTTAAGGTTTCAAATCTCTATGAGAATTTTGTTCTTTAAAACAAGTCAAACTTGGTATACATTAATTAATGTAAAAGTACATAACACTTGATTAAGATGATTTCTATAAATTTGTATGTATATGCTTTGAAGGAGACATGGTTATCTGTACTGAGACACTCCTATCTGTAAAAGCCATACTCAAAACTGACAAGAAATAACAATACAATTATTACATAATTCAATCAGCTAAAAACAAAATAAAAAGTGAAACTCCCAACGTTTTATGTTCCAACTACTATAATGAGGGAATATTTTGAGAGAAAATCAGATGTTTAATTATTTACAAATGTTGTCTGAGGTTTAAAACTGCCTCATTGATTTGGTAATTATCCCAGAAGTCGTCAGAACTAATTACTTTAACATCACAGTTATATAATAAACGATTCATCTTTTAAAATCACTTTTCCATATTTTCAAAAGAAAAGTATGATAAGGACAAAATAATGTGGCTTGTTATAAAAATGAAAGTTTACTCAAAAGAATCCATACTTTGAAGTTTGATATAAGATGAAAACTGGGAAAATTAATAAAAATATCAAATGTGAAGAATAAATATATTTCCAGCTTTCATGGCCTTCAAACTAATTTATGTATTTTTTAGCATACATCTTATGTATATATAATAAGTTATCATCCTCAAATATTCATAATTGAGAAAACAACCACCACCTTTCAATAAATCTAAAAAAAAAATTAATGTTTATCAATCTGAGATAAACAAGCTAAAAATACTTTTCTACTATTTATTTAATACTTCAATGAGAATTCTTCTTAAGAGCAAATATTCAATTGTTGGTTGCTTCACCCCATGTGGTAATTATTTTTAAAGTTTATTCATATTCAGGGCAGGTACAAATTAAGCAATATTATTATACAACATCTGACAAGATCAAACACTGCAATAAATGAAACATTTTAAAGGAAGGAAAACTCTCCAAAGGAGGTCAAGGTAAAATTACACCTGTCAGGTGTTTATGTTCATTTATATTTTGCTCCATACAGATATGATGCAAATATTGAAACCTATCTACTGGTGTATGAAAATGATGGGCCAAATGCCATATTTCAAATGGACATATACTCTGACATCTCCTTAAACCCTTCAACTAACTATTGATAATATTTAACTTAAAGTTACTTAGGATCTAAGCTTGAAAAATGAAACCTGTCTACTAGAGTATGAAAATGACGTCAGGGCATATGACGTGTATACTTACATGTTTACCCACATACCAAATGTTGTTTACTTATCAAATATATAGCTAATGAGGAACAGACCAAATCCAGAGACCATAACATGACCACAAGATCCTTAAGTCATGTAACATATGTCAGATGGACATATACTTCTCAAATCAATCCTTGTACTAAATATCACTGGTTCTATTATTTACAGATACTGAAGAAAAGATCTAGTGCTAAAAACATAACCAGATGACCACTAGATCATGAAAAAGAGGTCAAGGCCATATGAGATATATGGTCTTTGTCAGATTAACATATACCCCTAATAAACAATACACATACCAAATAGTTTTGATGTATCATGTATCGGTACCATGGAACAGACCATATTCTGAAAACTTATCACAGTGGTTCACAAAGCTTTGAGAAATCAACCGGACATTTGGTCAAGTAAACCATTCTTCTTAACTGGACCAGACTCTTTTTTTACAGGACATTTACACATATGATTTGGACAAAATAAAAAATTTTACTGGTCATTTAGTCCAGTAATGCATATTACTTAACTGGACCAAACCAATTTTTACTGGCCTTTACCGAATGTCAGGCAACCTTAAGAATGACTTATCACTGGAAATCAAAATGAGGTCAAGGTTAGTTGACAATGACTGGCTGACATGATCTCATGATAAATATTATTCACCTATCATGTAAAGATAATGATGAATAGACCTAAAAACTTAACCCTATGAACACTAGCCCATGATATGAGGATAAGCATATGACATATATGTCCAATGAATATATACTCCGTACGAACAACCCAGATACCAAATAATTTTGACATATCACAAATATGTACCAAGGAACAGACCCAATCCTTTAAATTTGTTCCTTGAACATGATAGGTCAAAATTGTTTGGTACACAGGTTGTTTGTGTTAGAGGAGTATATACTGTGTGGTGTATGTCGTGTGGCACTTTAACATTTGACTCCCCTTTTGGAAAATGACTTATGAAATAGTAGATTGAAATAATCAGAAAATGTATCATTATATATAACATGCATTACCATCTTGTGATGCCCTGTCTAATGCAAGTAGAGCTAACTTCTGTATGATGGAAAATTCTGATTTTAGTAATTCTAACATGGGAGATAATCCATCAGCATCTTTGATTGCAGCCCTTGTCTGGTAGTCCTGTAAATCACAAAAATATAATTGATATTACATGAATTGAAAACAAAATAATCTGAAAAAAGAGAACTATTTTTTTTCCTTCCGATGATAGATAAAGCAAACATGTCTTATGCTACTTCCTTGAACACTTTAAAACTTATTCAACCTACAAATATGTCAATTAAAAAATATATCTGTATATGATGTTTACCAGTAATTTAAATTTAAGAAAAAAGTTTCAATTAAGATATTTTCTTTGGTTGCCAGTATCAATCAAGGATCAGGTGCTTGCACCATTCAGAACCAATGACTCTGTTTAATACAACAAAAGCATACAAGAAGAAGTTGTGCCAAAGTCTCTATAGCATTTTTCTGTACATCAGGATCAGATGAGCTCAGACATTTCACCAATGGTTCTATTCCATTATTCTCAAATATCACTGCTTTACTGCTAAACTCTATAGCCATCTGTGATAAACCAAGGGCACAGAACTCATGTACAACAGTATCCTCTGCAAAATATTAATCTGTTATTAAACATGGTCCAAAACATATCTAACAAATTTTTAAACATAGTTTACACTTCAATTCCAAAGCAATGGGTATGTAGACATAGCCCAATAAGCCATTTACAAATTACTTTAAGTCTTCTGTTTGTGCGTGTACTACTTTAATAAAAAAGTAATTGTTATTCTAAAGCTTAAGTATCAACTAGCAGACTAAATAGGATTTAAAAGCTTGTTAAAATCTTTGATTTAAAAGCACTAACATCTTAGTGAAAACTCAATCATCTGAATATGTTCCACCTGCAGCTGTCTTTATGAAAATAAAGCAAATTGATAAAAATGCAAGCTGGGATATGTTTGCAAACAAAGATTCTGTAAGTGAAACAAAAGATTGTACAAATGATGTATATGTTACGGGTGATAAACTTCCAAATGGCAGATTCTCAATTCAATTTACTGGGACAAGGAATTTCAAAATTTCAAGAATGTAAGAATTGATGTGGTTAAGAAACTGGTGTTATAACATGTAAATTTATATGCAATAAGCTTGCAGACAATTTAGGTTTTGAAATGGTGCATGACTTTTCCAGTCAGTTTAAGAAACAATTAAGGATATTTGCTACTCTGCTTCAAAATAACAAGCTTTTTAAAATACTATTATAAATTGAAAGTATTTAAAAAACTGTACCAAAAAAGCAGAAAAAAAATGAACGGTATGTGTCCTTGTTTTCAAGAATAAAGCCATTGAAAATTTGGCAAGGAAATGATTCTCTCTAGATTTTTCATACATTTATCATAGGCACTTTCTTTCTTTCAAAAACTGTGAATAAATAACAAGGATTTTATAAGATTTTCAAATATGGTTTTTTAAACTATATATAATAAAATCATGACAAGAAAAGTAGGTGTTAGTGGGCAAAATTTTTAATGGCACTACATGGATAAAACCAGATGATTCCGAGTATCAGACAAAAAGTCAATAAAATGCTCCGCTGGGGCGCAGCTTGATACGACCGCAGAGGTCGAACCCTGAACAGTTGGGGCAAGTATGGACACAACATTCAAGCTTGATACAGCACTGAATTGGGATTGTAATTTAATATTTGACACAGCATAGGTTTCTCACACAGAATGAAAGTGGTCTAAGAACTTAAAAATTTTTAATTTACCTATTCAAACCACATCATTATCAATTGCTTTTATATATAAATCAGAAATAACCAATTTCAAATGGAAAATTTTAAAGAAAAAAAAGGAAAAAAAAATCCCTCCCAAATTTTTTGAACCCCCTTATGATTCATCACCCCCAAACTCAATCCCAGCCTTCCCTTTGTGGTATAGTACCTTGCAGTACAATTTCAGAGAGATCCATACACTTGAACACAAGTTATTGTCTGGAAACTAGAAAAATGCTTGTTTTGTGGCTCCTTTTTGGCCCCAAATTCCTAAACGTTTAGGGCAATTACCCCCAAACTCAAACCCAGCTTTTCCTTTATGATATGGAACCTTGCAGTACAATTTCATAAAGATCCATACACTTACACACAAGTTATTGTCCTGAAACTAGAAAAATGCTTGTTTTTTTGCCCTTTTATGGCCCCTAACTACTAAAATTTTGAGGGAATTATCCTCAAAATCAATCCCAGCCTCCCCTTTGTGGAATGGTACCTTGCAGTACAATTTCAGAGAGATCCATACACTTGAACACAAGTTATTGTCTGGAAACTAGAAAAATGCTTATTTTTGGCCCCTTATTCCTAAACTTTTTGGGCAATTACCCCCAAACTCATTTCCAGCTTTCCCTTTGTGATATGGAACCTTGTAGTACAATTTCATAAAGATCCATACACTTACACACAAGTTATTGTCATGAAACTAGAAAAATGCTTGTTTTTTGCCCCTTTTTGGCCCCTAATTCCTAAAATTTGGAGGCAATTACCCCCAAAATCAATCCCAGCATTCCCCCTGTGATATGGAACCTTGTGATACAATGTCAGAGAGATTCATAGACTTACACACAAGTTATTGTCATGAAACTAGAAAAATGCTTGTTTTTATGCCCCTTTTTGGCCCCTAATTCCTAAAATTTGGAGGCAATTACCCCCAAAATCAATCCCAGCATTCCCTTTGTGATATGGAACCTTGTGGTACAATGTCAGAGAGATCCATACACTTACACACAAGTTATGTCTGGAAGTTACAAAAATCCTTATTTTTGGCCCCTAATTCCTTAACTGTTGGTACCATAACCCCCAAAATCATACCCCACCTTTCTTTTGTGGTATTGGACCTTATGGTAAAATTTCATTGAGATCCATTCACTTAAACTAAAGTTAGAGTGCGAAAACTAATGTGTCTTCGGACGACGAAGACGCCAACGTCATACCAATATACGACCACAAAAATTTTTTTTGCGGTTGTATAAAAACAAAGAGGAGCGAACATCCTTAAATTACAGAATTAAAAAAACACATACTTAGAAATATACATAAAACCATATCAATCTGTGTATATTTTTGTAAGTCTGTGAAATCTGATGCACCAAAAAATACAATGATAAATATGACAGAAAATATTAAAACAAACCTTCAGGTGCTAACAATGTTATCATAGCAGGTATGGCTTCTTCATTCTTTCTCAACTTTTTCCTTACTTCAGCTAAAGTTTTATAAAAACATAGATGTTTTAATAAATTGGTCAAACATTACAGTATTGGAACCATATAACTATAATGGGGAAAATTTACAATCCCTTTAAACTAAATTTGTATTATACTTAGGGTTGTTCTAAAACTTATTTATAGTGCAACTCTGATATTTGTGCAGTTTTAAAATTGCATTGACCATATATTCATTTGTGATATACAGTCACTGGCAGTATATCACCTTGTTTGTGACATTGATAATGTTTTTTACTAGAAACTTATCTATGACATAAATAAAGAATGCAGGTTCACATAATTTTTATGCCTTCCGCTTCAAAATAAATAAAGAGCTGCGCCATGAGTGCATGATACGCCCGTTGCTTTTTCAAAGAATAAACTTCAATAACTCCTCATTTTCATATAAAAAATTTATGAACAAGAGTGCACATGCTGAAATGTCTCGCCTGTTTTACTGACCATTGATTTTATGTTGAATGTCTTAAAGATAAAGGTTTTACCACAAGTATCACATAAACTTAACATTTTTAAAGATCCATGACAATGAGGTCAAGGTCAGATAAAAACTGTCACACAGACATGTACACCTTACAATTATTCTATACACCAAATATAGTTGACCCATTGCTTATGGTAATTGAAAAACAGACCAAAACACAAAAACTTAATGTTAACCAATGAACCATAGAAATGAGGTCAAGATCAGATGATACTGGCTAGACAGACATGTACACCTTACAATCATTCCATACACCAATAATAGTTGTCCTATTGCTATTAGTATTTGAAAAACAGACCAAAACACAAAAACTTAACATTGACCAATGAACCATGAAAATGAGGTCAAGGTCAGATGACACCGGCTAGACAGACATGTACACCTTACAATCATTCAATACACCAAATGTAGTTAACCTATTGCTTACAGTACTTGAAAAACAGACCAAAACACAAAAAATTAACAATGACAAATGAACCCTGAAAATAAGGTCAAGGTCAGATGAAACCTGCCAGTCTGACATGTACTCCTTCCAATCATTCCATACACCATATATAGTTGACCTGCTGCTTGTAGTATCTGAGAAATGGACCTAATCACGTTACTTTAACCTTGATCACTGATCCATGAATTGAGGTCGAGGTCAGGTTAACCCTGTCTGCTGGACTTGTAGAAGTTGCAAAGAACCCATATACCAATAATAGTTATCATATTACTCATAATAAGTGAGAAATTCACATGACAAAAAAACAGTAATTTTTTTTCAAGCAGTCACTGAACCATGAAAATGAGGTCAAGGACAATGGGCATAAGGTATCTGCATACAACGTATGAAGCATCCAGGTCTTCTACCTTCTGAAATATAAAGCTATTTACAAATATTTTACGCCGCCGCTGGATAGTAATACCTATGTCTCGCATACTGCGACTTTTTGTAGGCGAGACAAAAACTAAAGGGAGGTTATTTTAATAGATATAAAACAGTCACCAAAGTTTCATAAAAACTGCTAAAAGCACTTTTGAGTTACAAATGTATTGTCTGAAAATTGGATAATCCCCCCTTTTTTATGAAAAAAATTCCATAACTCGGAAACGTAAAATCTAAAATTTATAAAAATCGAAAGGGAGCTTACGTCAATAGATATAAACAATTCACCAAAGTTTCATGCAAATTGGTTAAAGCATTTTTGAGTTATTCCGACATGTTGACAACGGACAGACAGACGGACAACAGTATACCATAATACGTCCGGTAAACGGGCGTATAAATATTGATGAGTGTTTACCCAAAATATTTAGTTTGAAACAGTTGTAAGAGTTGCAGTAAAAAGAGAACGACAATATCTTGTCCCAAAAAATAAAATGTATTTGTAGTTGGCTCAAAACAGGATAAAAAAAGTGCTACAAAGCCTTGTACTAATAAATTTTATATTATGAGACAATGTAAAGTTATTCTATATATAACTAGAACTGATACAGTATATACCTGACTTGACAGCTATACAAGAAATAAACAACTTTATGCTACATTGTTGAAGTTCATTTACAAAGTCTGTAAATGAATGTTCAAGACATCAACGTAGAATTGATGGATAAAAAATAAATCTCTTTTGGACTGTTCTTGAGTTATTTCAGTAAAATAGGTTTGTATGGTTTAATGTGATATTTGTTTTGTTCATGAAGACAGAAGAGCTTCTAGAATGAACTAGAATTTTGAGGTCACATTACAACATGTAGTGATTATTATTGTTCATGTCAAATTCTTTCAATGTAGCCTGGCTGATTTTTTTAAAGCTTTTAAACACTACTTACAATGAGCTGTCATAACACTGACTGCCATACAAGCATTTCTTCTGACAATTCTATCTTCGCTTTGTAAAAGTGGAAGTAAAGCCTCAATTGCATTTAAATCAAGTAGCTGTTTCTTATTTTCATCACCTATAAAAATAGAGAGAGAAATTACAAAATACTGCAAAATGTTTGGGATTTTCTTTTCAGTAATTTGACTATTAAGCCTTTCCTCCATAATGACGCCGTTTGAGTCCCTGTGTCAAATAATATTTAAATGTTTATAAAAAAAATTGCAAAATCAATGAAAATAACAAATCATCAAATCCAATTTCCTTAAAGTTCCATCATCTCATCCAACACATAAATCTAACAAATTTAAGCATTATTGTTTGAACTCACATTTATCAACATATTTATAAATAGCTTCACATGCTTTGGCCTGTACATCTTCCTCTGGACTACTTAACATAAGGACCACAGTTCCAGCTTGTCTGCTCTCAACCAACAGAGGGTCAAACTGTAAAGTAAGAAAATATAAATACAGGGGTTTAAATTTGCTTTAAATAATGAAAGGTACAGGACCATTTGAAATTTTAAGTGAAGGGTCCTCCATAAGAAATCAATGGTCGTATATCAAGCTTCAGTGTAAAGAATGGCAGGTCCTTGACTTTTGTAATTTAAAAATGAAAAGTCCTCTCCTAGAAAAGACAGGTCCCGGACCTTGGACCAACATAAATTTGAACCTCTGAAATATATAAAGTATGTATCCATATAGCAAGATGAAGGAATATATATAGAAATCAGGTAGTCTGTCAAAAACAGCATTTCTTATTTTTATCAAACCTTTTGATTCATAACAGATTTTAATTGTTAATGCAGTAAAAAAAAATATTTATTGGACATTACTCAGAAACTGATGAACATATTTTCAATTAAAAATGTTTCAGATATTTTGTGTTTTACAATAGTTTGATAGATTTTTTATACATCTGTGTTACCACTTTAAATAACCACAAATTTTATTTATAAAAAACTGAAAAAATACTGCTTTTAGCATTTAATGGAACAACTGCATTAAATTGTAAGTTTAGTCAAATTCAAGAATGGATGTTTATTTCTAACCAAAATGTTATGTTGCAGTACAAACATTACAGGGCTTAATTATTTGATACCTTGATGTAAAATTGATGATCCACTTTCATGACTTAAAAAGATTAATTTTTTTATAAGAATGTACAAATGGTAAAATGAACACAATAAATATATGTTACGTGTAAGTTATCTTACAATGTTGTATTGACCAAATTAATTTAAAAATTTTTTCTATAACATTACCCCTCAATCACCAAAAAACATTTTCTTAAATTTCATCTATACATTCATTTTTTATAAATTAGTTTCTGAACAGCATGGTACAGTCAGAAAGGTTGAACCAAATAAAATATATAGTTATGATTATACATAAATATACTAACCACGTCATCAGGAGGTGGTTTCTCGTCCTTCTTTACTTTCTTCCCCATGTCTGAAATAGAAAGTTTCTTTATTTCTTGAAGTTGAGAGTGAAAAGTTTACATATGCACTAGGGTGGCTAAGTAAATCGACTGGGCTGTAATGATATCATTATAGGTAATACTAAAGTTCCAGTACCTAATATCTGAACTCAAACATGAGCCTTAATTGAAGTCAACAGATAATAAAATACAGGTTAAAGTGACCTACTTTATGTGAGATACTGGTCACTTAATTTCTAATTTAACATTTATAAGAATGTTTAAAACTTTATCAAACCTAATAAACCAAGAAATCTGTGTCACATGACCTTCATCTGAAGGCAAATGGCCTGTCTATGTACACCAACTACATGCATATGGCTGTATAGTACATATTATAAAGGAAAAACAGAAATAATAAAAAATATTTGGACAGCACAACAAACCTGACCACAACAACCACCAGCACCAGACTACTTTGAGAAAATAGACATACAGCTATGATTATCATAATATTTGTATACTATGCTTGTTAGAATTATTCTGGCAATACTCCAGGTACTCCAATAGTCCCCCCCAATTTTGTTAAGGGAAATAAATTTTATATCGAATATTTATGTTATCTTCAAAATAATTGCAATCAATTCCTGTTGGGTCTCCTTTTACATAAAATTGAGAATGGAAATGGGGAATGTGTCAAAGAGACAACAACCCGACCACAGAACAGACAACAGCAGAAGGCCACCTGTATGTTAATTAAACTAGTTTTAAAAAAAAATGCAAGTATTGCTGTGTGTTTGCTTTTTCTACATTGGCTAAGAGGTATAGAGGGAGGGTTGAGATCTAACTAAACATGTTTCACCCCGTCACATTTTTGCGCCTGTCCCAAGTCAGGAGCCTCTGGCCTTTGTTAGTCTTGTATGATTTTAGTTCATTTATAAATTATATATTTTGGAATTTAGTATGATGTCCATTTTCACTGAACTAGTACACATTTTTGTTAAGGGGCCAGCTGAATCCCGCCTCTGGGTGCAGGATTTTCTCGCTGTGTTGAAGACCCATTGGTGGCCTACGGCTGTTTTCTGCTCTTTGGTCGGGTTGTTGTCTCTTTGACACATTCCCCATTTCCATTCTCAATTTTAAGAACAATATCAAAACATATGTAATCTTTCAAATTAAAAACATTTAGTGTCTGAATTATATTATAAAACTTTTGCTTTGTTTAATAAAGTTCTTAAGCTCCTCCAATCTACTTCTTGCTGAAATATTATAAAAATTAGTACTATTATATTCCAAAGGTATAATTGTACATGAAAATACAATAAAAATGGTTGCAAAGATGTTTTTTTCTGCTAAAACTAACATATACAAAACAACCTTTCCCCAGCCAGAATCTATTTTTATAGAATGAAGAATAAAATAAAGCCTAGAATTTCCTAAAACAATGCACCATCTAATTTTCTCGGCCAGTTAGTGATACCTGTTCCTCGAGATGAGAGATGAGATCTTGCAGTATCTCGTGATGATGTGAGAGCTCTTTCACGGGAGAGCAAATGGGATCTTGCTACGTCCAAAGATCTTTTTGAATCAGCCATTTTTTCAGTTTTCTAGTATATAGGCATATAATCATAAATAAATGTGTGAAGACATGTTTACATGAAGATTGAAGTCCATAATGATAACATGGTGAACTGATTAACCATCAAAAAGATCAGGAAAGTTAACCATTTTTTCATTTGATTATTCATCCAAATTTAAAATGCGAGACACATATGACATGTATACAAATGTATGCCAATTTTAAATACATTTATAAAATATCAAATCAAAGAGTAATAGAACTGTTACTAATGCTCTTATGGTAAATTAAAAAAATAAAATGACCAGTGATTAAACAAAGATCAATGGTCAATAGGCATTTGCTTTTACCATCATTATTACATGCTTTGACTCAATATCAGCAATGTGATAAAAGAAAACAATTGTTGTGTTCATATTTTTTTTATAACCAAGCGATTTTTTTTTTTCTGTTAAAGACAATTTGTTTCAAATTGTAAATGTATCTTTTTTGTGTTAATAATTGTGCATGCATTGTATACATGCATATCTATATGCAAACAATGGCACATGATTAGTTTTGATAAAGTATTATTACTTATCTTGGTGTAATCAGGAGTGCACCAAATTTTCAATACTGGTGTAAAATTCTGTACACCCCATTTTAACAAGAAATGAAATTTATTATTAATGAAGCATTCCTTTACTCTTTTTTAAACTGGGTTGTAAAATAAAACTATTCTTATGAAGAATTTCCACTTTTACACATTTTTACATACTGGGGTATTAAGCTGAAAAAAAAAGTCTGACATTGCCAGGGTATGTGCACAAGGAGATGCCTTTTTACCCTCTCTACCATGGTATTTGTCAAAAGTTACAACTGTACAATATAAGAATTTTTTTACCTTTCAATGAGATGCTTATTCTTTTGTGCTCTTTATTAAATTTGGTTGTTTCTTTTTAACCCTGTGAGTAAATAGTTTACATTTGACCTTGGGTCAACAGAAGATAACTCAGTGCTACCATTAAATTGCTAAATATATAAAGATCCGACATTTGATAATAAAGGTACAAAAAAAATTCTTTGGAGGGAGCCACTTAAAAGCTGATTCATTTAATAAAGAATTCTATGATGAGATCAGCAAACTAGAAACTACAGTGGAACAGACCAACACAGAGATGGCTTTATTAGAGAAATCAGCAAAGACAAGGTAGAAGCAGCTATATACTGCCTCCATATAGGGACTGCCCAGGCCAAGATCAGCAGTTTGATGAATTTTCCAAGCATGCAGGTAACAAATTTACAGAAGTTATAGTGGCAATGATGAAGAAAAGTGAAATACCCACAGAATGGAAAATGGCAGATGTATTTAAAGTTTCTAAGAAAACCTGGGAAAGCCAGCTATTACTCTTCCTCTTCTTACAGATCAATCAGCCTTACATGCATAATATGCAAACTAATGGAGAGAGTCATCTTAGAACATTTCGTGGCCTATATTGAGGGGCACAGATTGATTGATTTAACCCAAGAAGGGTTCAGAAAAATTCACTCAACAACAAATGCTTCTCTTTGATTAGTTCAAACAATAGCTGACGGTTTCAATGAGGACAAATCAATACTGGCATGGCTAGTGGACCTAGAAAAGGCATATGACTCAATATGGCTTTAGGGGTTAATGATCGAGCTGCATAAGCTCAGTTACAGTATAAAGGGAAAAACCTGGTTATGGAAGAAGTTCTGTCAAGATGTCTACAAAATTTAAATGAAAAAGTAGATGGACAATCAGTGAAACTTTTTGATCTAGTACCTATTGTTGATGTACAACTTGACACACCAAACCCCCAAATAGGAAGAATATTGTCAGAACTGAGAACAGGTTATAGCAGATTAAATACTGAAACCAAAATAGGTCAATCCCTCACTCCACGTAGAAACAACAGAACATTTCTAATACTAAACTGCCCAAGACACCCAACTGGAAAGAGAATACATGTTAAGACAGATGGAAATACTGAACATACCAACAGACATACAATCAATATTATAACACCTTACATATATTATAAACAATTCTGTTGGGCATGTTGGGTAACACGTTACCACGTGACATGGAATAATTCTGGATCAGTTAATTTTCATTTAAATGCAAGAAAGGACAAATATCCCTAAAAATTTACACCCAGCGGTGAATAACCTTTTGATTTTCTTAATTTGTACACGAATAATCTCCCATGAACATGACGTCACAAACGTAAGTAAACAAATGGCAACGTTCACGTTACAGGAACCATCAAGTGACGAGGAAACAAGGCTTGGAAAGTCATCTAGTGCAGAGGATATCTCTTAAAAACCGTTCTTTTCAGGGCCATCAACATTTTACAAAAAGATTCTACCTTTGTTGTTTATACGAGAAATTCTAAGACACAAATTTATTTTCAAAGGTTAACTTGTATTCGTTACTATACAGTTGGGTAAGTGCTTCTTCAATGGTTCAAAAGGCCCTCCCACTGTTAGTTCTGAATAATAAAGCAGTGTGGCCTCTTAGAAGCGATGAATATCCAAAATTGTCAACCCTCAAACTTTTTGAGTTGATAATTTTGGATATTCACCTTTTCTAAGGGCCATAATTGTTTATTGTCACCATCAAAGGGAGAAACCTACGAAGCAACAGCTCAAATTGTAGGGGAATATATAGAAAGATCAGGGCAATTTCAATAACTGGCAAGCACTGAATCACGATCCTGCACCTTAACAACTATTCTTAAGTATTGTGAGAAATTACCTTGAGTAACGGTGTACCATAACTGGCATAAGAGGATAAAAAATAGTAGAGAAACAAGTTGTGTCAATGACAATGTTGACCTAAGGCTTAGGATTTTCATACTAATGGCGTTCTCCACTAGTGCATCTAATGCAGGATGGTTAAATATCAAGGTAAGGGCAGCTCAGTTAAAATCGTAATTGATATTAACTGCTTAACAGTAGCCTGTTAAAGCGGTGGGGGTCTCTGGTCCACTGATAATTTATTTCGGGAAAACAAGCGATGTTATTTATCATATTTGCACATTATAAAGATTTTGTTAATTTTTTCCAACTTGTCATATGTTACTTTATTTTCCCAAAACAACAAACCTGTTTTTATAATTTGCTAGGAAGGTTATACCACAATAGATAAATAAGACTGGACTGAAATTTATACCGCCATTGACAGAAGCTTGTGTTGTTACTAAGGACGTCTTATTTTTGTGTGTAGTTAATGACGTAGTACGCAAAAGTACCTGATTGACAAATGGCGGGAAAATACCACGAGATTAGCGTATATAGTACAGGTAAATTGAGAAACAAAAGACAGAACAACAAAACAATAATTACCGAGAGCAAATGTCGCTCATAATGAAATTTCAAGTTTCTTTGGCTTTAAATACAAATACAAATATACAAATATTTATTAGCACAAACTCATCAACAATAAATGGTTAAGGCTCATGGTATATTAATTACATAGTTGATCATACATAATAAGTATTGCAAATAATGACTAGATATTAATATGTAATATTATAAACAATGATTATGAATTGGACATGTTGACAATTTTATAGAGTTTGTTCTGCTTTACGCAGGTTCAGACTGTCTGAAATGAAAGAGGAAGTCAATTTTAGGATTGTGTATGAATTATTATTTAATAAAAAGATTACATTATTTTCATTTTTTTGAAATTTTGTAGGATCAACGATTATATTTGAAACTTTTTGGTAAAATATGGCCCTTTTAGTTGAGTATTTTTCACAATGTAAAACAATTTGACCAGAATTACATACAGAGCAGTATCTTTCATTTCTGGGAATATTTAGATGTCTCCCTCCCTCTTTCTTAAATATGAGCTGAAGTTATAGTAATCTCAAAGATGAGGGAGTGAAAATTTTTTAATTACAAATGAGGTCAGAAACTATAACATAAACATTCATGAAATGTTGATTACTATATAAATTTCAAATTCAAAGTAATAAACTATGTCGTCTTATACATAACAGTCATCCGTATTTATTAAAGCGCACACCTGAGCAAGCGTTTACGTGAAGGATAATAGAGTTAATGTCTCCCTCGTCAGTGGCTGATCCAGGACTTTAGGTTATGGGGGGGTGGCGTGCAAACTTAAAGTTGTTGCCGAGCGGAGCGAGGCGAAAATTTTTTTTGAGGTAAAATTATGGAAATATTTTTTATTAAGCTGAGGACAACCCATGCTTAGCAAATTTAAGGTGGGGCGCACGCCCCTGCCTGAATCCGTCCCTGCTCGTATTAACCAATCAAATTTCTGGCATTTTGACATGAAGTATATTAATTGCAGTTGTCATCTAATAAAATAATTGATAATAATATCTTTGAAGGCTAATTTTAATATTGCCTTTCTTTGTATAGACTATAGTAATCAAGGTGGTAAATGGTGTTTTGTGCATCATGTTTTTCAAGTTTTAAAAGCTGGCCAGTGGGCTGAAGGGCCATTGTGAGCAATTGACATCACATTACGTCTGTTGGCTGTCAACTTTTCTTAAGGTTCATGTCGACCTTTTGGCTAAAATGGCTGCATTTTCACCACAAAATTTACTCTTTGAGTACAGACAAACCTGTGTATCTGGAAAAGTGTTAAGGCATAGCATGCCATAGATAAATAAAATTCAAATATATGTTATGTTTTAGAAAATTAAAAACTTAACAGGATTTTGCAGTGCACTTTTTTTCATTCCTCCAGAAGATGCCAAAATAAACAAGTTGTGAAAGAGGTTTGAGAACTTCCCCTAAGGTAATAATTGAAGTGAACTGTATTGATTGAAATTGACAATAGATACCTGACAATAATTGGTGATTTAAACTGTGTACCTGAGTGGACCATATCAAGTGGAACTCAACTGTTTGTTAATTTTATCACCTTCTGCAGGGACGAAAAAAAGTGCACTTCAAAATCCAGTTCAGGTTTAAATTTTCTAAATCATACAATGCATTTGAATTTTATTTATCTAGGGCATGCTATGCCTTAAAACTTTTTC